TTTATATTTATTGTCGATTAAATAAATTATATATATATAGATTTTAGAGAGTAGATATATATGTAAATGAGTAACCTGTTTTGAGTTTATTTTTAATATTATTTATTATAAGATTAGCAATAATTATATTTGCTTGATGGAATAGGAAAAGAGATAAGATAATTTTATATGGGGCAGTGAAATTATTGCCGAACGTAGCCATTTTTCTTTTCCTTTATATTTGAATATAATCGATTTATCCAATTTAATTTATTTTATTCCTCATTGATCAAATAAATTGTTATATTTATATCAATCTATTTTAATTCATTATATATTAATCAAATACAATAACTTACTTTTAATATTTTATAACTTTTACTTCAAAATATCTATACGATATTTATTATTTATTACACTATATTTATTATATGATGATATCGAGGTTAGATTTTATTGAACTTTATGAAAAATTAATTAGCTATCTTGATTAAAATCATTAATGAAATCAGATATTTGTTAAAATACTTCATCGGATACTTAATACCACTTAATACATTTCTTATCGAAACAATAATGAATAACAATCTATCAGACAAAAAAAATATCTTATCGATGCATTGTACATCGTCATGCACAAATATGCGAATTGATCATATATCGTGACATCTTTGAAAATAAAAATATTTTGTTGTCGAACAATTTTTACACGCTTCGAGATAAAAAAAAAAAAATGGTCTTAAAAATTCGAGCAATATGTTTTTCGACTCGAAGATTTTTTTTTTTACAATTCGCAAATTACCGGATAATATAATTTTCAGTTTATTAATATTCAAATATTTTTCTTTATTTTTCTTCTCTCTCTTTCCTTTTTCCTTCAGATATTCGCGTAATTAACGTGATTAATAATCATAAATATTCATTCATTGTCTATATTCATTAAACAGAACGAATAAAATATTTGAAAAACATTTCTATTAAATATAGGCCAATGAATAATTAATTCATTTATTGTCGATATGCAAATACTGATAACTCAATTCGTGTAACGTCCATGATTAACAGTTCTCAATAACAGACTGAACCGTCATTGAAAATTGTTAATTGACAATGCGTAACACGTGTTACGTCTTGGCTCAGATATTGATTCATCTAAGTTCATTCATTCTCGATTTATGATTGTTACTTATGATTGTTAATTAATATATATATATATTTGCTTCGATCACAATTTATTTATTCAAATGTTAGTTGATACCTTGAAGAATATCCGGTTCGAATTCCTTCGCGACACTCGTTCTTCGTCACTTCTATTGTCGTCATCGACGAACGATAGAATCAGCAAATTTATGTCAATTGTGTCGAAATCTTTGTCTTCTTGGAAATGGCATTGAACAGCTGCAAAGATGCATAAATCAATTAATTTAATTGTTCGAGCATTTTTTTTTTTAATTTTCAAACGATTATAAGCAATTTTAAATGATTAATTTTATAAAAATTTCATAAAAATGAATTTATTAATATAAATTAATTTGTAATTTAATCCAATGTTTCTATGTATACGAATGATTACAAATAAAAATAATTGTAACTATTTTCCAAAAAATATGTTATATAAATAACTATTACTAAATCGATAAACGATAATTATTATTATTATTATTATTATTATTTCGATTAGTTTTTAACGTAGAAGTTCAATGTTTAATATTTTATAAACTATTTAACATGTGTGCAAATGATTTTGACATATGCAAATGATATGAGTCAGATGTTTTTCGATTTTTTGTCTACGTGAATATATATATATATATATAAAATATCATTGGAACCTCTTACGTATAACTCATAATATTTTCTTTGTTAACAAATCAGTAGATACAAACATTCTTGGTCAGACACGTGTCCGGCTATCTGTTGCATCTCCAGTGATGCGACAATATCTTTTCTCAGGCAATCGAAGAATGTGTACGAAGTATAAAATTTCTCGTGTTATTAACCTCTTTAAACAATTTCAAATCTCTTTAATGATAGGATAAGAGAAAAAATAATTATTTCTATTCTCTTTTTAAATAAGCATATGTTAAAGTTAATTCTTTCTAAAAATGTACACAATAATAATGTTATTTATCGTTGTATTAACGTAAAAGATTTTTCTGGAATCATACTTGAATTGGGAAGAGTGTAATCAACGTATAATATTATCTTTAATAATCTTTAATAAGGTACATAATAATCCAAGCTTATTCCGTCAATAAAGAATTATATAAAAATCTTTTTTAATTCTTCAATTTAACTCTTCTTCTCTACCATTTGAAACCATTGGTGTTGCAATAAAAATAAGAAGAAACAATAAAAAAAAAGTAAACAGTAATAAAAATCTGAAGAAATGTATGGGAGAAGAACAAAGAAGAAGGGATTAAGAAAAAAAAAAATTAGAATCTTAAAAAAACTGAAAGAAAGAAAAGATAAATGAATTAAAAGATAAATGAATAAAACCTTGAGAGATGGTAGTATAATTTAAAATCTATTGTTCTTCGTAAACATAGGAGGGATGCCTATTTACAAAAACGTCGTTCTTTATTTTCTTTATCTCACGAATGATAACGAGTGGTAAAATCTTTACGATAGGCCCATCGATCGATCTAGGAAAAAATTCCATTAGGAAATGGCGGCAAAAGATGACTATTTAAAATATTTTACTTACAATATTATTTAAATTCGCGATATTTCTAATCTTTTTTTAATGTAAAAGTGAGTTGAAAATTTACAATTTGTCAAGGATGATGGATTATCTTCGATAATCGATACGTCGTTAATATTTTTATTTATGACATCTACAACGAAGATATCTGCGATATTAATATTTTTCCTAATAATATTGTTTTGTAATAATTCAATAATAAGTCACATCTCATCCATATATTTTTCTTTTTTTAAGAGAATACACAGTATGTAATAAAATATGAAATATGTTCTGCCTGTGTCTATTGCGCAAAAACGTTTTTTTTTTTTCCTTTTTAAATAATCTACATTATTTAAGTCTTTGACTAATACGTATATTTAAAAGGAAAATATTGTTAAAAGTAGATTTCATAATATAATCGTCTCAATATGCGTGTTTTTTCAACGTGAGAATTAAAGTTCAAGTAATGGAAAAATTATGTGAGAAAAATGTTGCAATACAATGTATTTGATATTATATAATACGATAACGATACATTTGATATTATATGTTGATATTGAAAATACTTCTAGTACAATGATATTACTTCATTATTTTTTTTTTCTTTTCATATTTTCTTATCGTGTTTATTTTTTTCCTTTTTTTCTATCTGGAATGTATATCGATATTGAAATAATATCTCGATCTTCCATAATATCGGCTGTTTATCGACAGTCTGAGGCATTCACACTAATTCTTTTTGAGATCTACTGTTGACTTTTGTAAGTGTAAATCGAACTAACATACTGAAACAAATATCTTTTGGAATAACAATTTTAATGATATACGATAACAATTTATTTCACTTGTATTACACGTGCTAATTAATTATATCAACGATGAATTATAATTTATGAATAATGAT